CACGCGGCGTGGCGCGGCACTCATCCGGGCACCAGCTCGGGCAGGGCCGGTGGCAAGAAAACGCCCTTCTAGCAACTTGGCGTTTTAATAACAGCAAATAGCGCTCAACGCAAAGCCTCTTGGTAAAGCTCTGATGTGCCTTCGAGACGCGGGGCCCTACGCCACGTACTTTTTTGTCATTCATTCCTCTTCCTCCGGCAAAAGCCCCAAATCTCTGAATTTGTGGCAGGCAGAATTGCAGTACTATTTTCCTTTGCTTTCAACTTTGAACAACTTACGACAACTCCACGCCAAATGTAAGACGGAAGCAAGGTTCGGAGTGTGCAAATTATTGGTCGTTAAATGGAAAGCACCTTGCGAGGGAGGTTCGCGTGACCCGCTTGAATGGGTCAGTCCCCGTGCAAGTATTTGGCATGGTTGGTGGGCAAGTGCATTCTCCCAGTGCAGGGGCGTGTTCCCAGCCGAAGCTGCCCTCCTCTTCCTCCTGCCCACAAACACCCGGTGTGCTCCTCTGTACCCAGCACGGCCGCTCCGCCGGGATGCTCCAGCTTTGCCTCTCCTCTGGTGAGCCTGTAGCCCAAAAAGCGGGGAAAAAGAACAAAAGCGTTTTAATGGCCTAATTTATTTTAAAGTTAGCTGTCTCTTAATGCTGCCCCAGCCCCCAAAACGCCAATAATTGTTATCTGGTTCCCTGCCATATCCCCAGCCAGCGCCCTCAGCGTTTCAGGCACTGCTGCGTGAGATTAGCGGGGAAGTGTTTTGAGTCCCTTACATCAAAGGGATTGAAAAACTATAAATTTAAAGAACGTATTATGCAGGTGAGGAGAAAAAAAAGCAAGTTCTGTTAAAAAGGATGGCTCATTCCTCCTCGTTCTGGGGCAGGGCTTAAGGCAGCTAATAAATCTCCGGGGGAAAAAGCCCCATTTAGTGGACACCAGCCTGAAAAAAAGCAAAATGCCAGCAGGTGGGAGAAGCGCCCAGCTTCACCGCACGCGGGGAAAAGCGTTGGGTCAAAGAAGGAGGTGGGAAGGTGGTGGGAAGCCTCGGGTGGCCGGCACAGGGTCAGGGCAGCGGCGAGGCTCCCGGTGCACCTCTAAGAGCAGCCCCGAATCTCGCATCGGGTCCCTTCTCCGCAAGGCGCTGCGTAAAGACAGACAGAAGGAAGAAGGGAAGGTGAGAAATGAGGAGGAAAAGGTGAAGCTAGTAGGATCAAAGGTTAGGGAAATGTTTCGCGAATTGCCCGTGACAAGCTGCCACCGTTAATACATCCCCACC